ATGTACACACACACATATTATATATATTCAGTATTAATCTTAATATAAAATCAATAAATTTTGACACAACATTGTTTTGTGATTGATTTCAATCACAAATCACTTGTGTATTAGCTTTAGAGTAAATAAATTATACGGTTGGAGATTTATGCGAGATAATTCATTATCAACGATTTGATGTTACAGAGAAGACTATCTTGGATGTCTGATCTTCTTTTACTGACTGTACAAAAAGGAAATTGCCGTTTTAACTTTGAATGATAACTGAACAGCTATTATCTATCAATTTACTTATTACCACCCGTTAATCAATCAACGAGTCAGTGACCGGTATTCTTCACTTCCGTTGTCTCATTCAACTTAATTTCCTTTGATCGGCTAAATATATAAAACTTTTTGAAATTAATTTTTTTTTTAATTTTTGAAGTTTTTAATTATTAATATATTTATTATAATAAATTATTAATAATTTATTTGATATTACATTAATTAGTAGGCAATGAATCACCGATTATCAATGTGGATTTGAAATTATCTGTTATGAAGATATAATTATATTTAGTCCTCTATTTTTAAATCTGTAGGATTTAAAGATTAGCTCATGACGCATAAAATATTTTGATTTCAAAATTAAGAAATAATAATATATGGAGAAGAGAAGGGGATATTGGAATACCATAGTATTTTCTTAAAATAATTCATTAAAATAATTCAGACACACGGTAATGACACAGTCAGAGATACGGTAGTATCTCGGGCGTCCATACAGAAACACTACCGTATGTATTTTGCGCGAGTCGACGAGTTGCAAGCACGCGAGAATATCAATAACGGCTGAAACAATCAAGTTCTAAATAAGCTTAATCGACAACTTAACTTTGATTTGCATAAAAAAGTGTTTTTATTTTTTTTTTTACGTGCCCTACGAGTGGAGATATTGCGACGTAAAATCCGATTTGGAAAGTTTTACTTTAAGATACGTCGTCATTAAATTACATCGTCGCCTTTGTATGGTTGTAATTTCATGAAAGGTGCTGACATTGAGTCCAAGTGGAGTCTCTAGAAAAAGAGAGTCTAGACATCGGTGCGCATAAGTGAGCAAGCAGGAGAACGAAGGAACGAGCAAGATACTTGCACTTTCTTCGCGCGTCCGATTGACAGTCGACATCTCATTGAGTTTCGCGGCAAGTTTGACAATTGGTGATAGCTCGTTTCAAAATGATATGTGATATAAACGATTATCGTTTTGCGATACGTGAATTAAATAATATGTGTGGCAGAAAATATAAAGATTAATAAAAATAAGATTAGTATTTATTTAGATTATCCACCTGTATATAATTTTTCTTTAGTATTTGCTGTATTTCTCATGTTATAGATAAATAAATTTTATATGTTGCAAATTATGTCCAAATTATAATATGCGATCAAATGCGATCGAATGCAAATAGTTATATGTACTAAAAATTTTCACTTGTATCATAGGTTTATATTATGTTTATATCGAATGATTAAAGATCGAGACTCTATAATTTATTTTCAGATTTTGATAGATTCTTTATTCTGTTTAAATTTCTTTTATCTTCATGATTCATATGTTTATATTGTCATCTAAAATCATAAGAAACATAATAAAGTAATGCGTCAATTTAATTTGTTTATTTTCACGTAATTGAATATCTTAACATCAATTGATTCATTTCACTATTCTCTATACAAAATTTAAAAATATTAAGGTACAATTTTCAAAATAAATAATTTATATGAATAATTTATAGATATTTTTATACTTAATCAGAATATGCTAAGATAAAGTATAAAATATCTCGTAAACTATTGATCTTTCGACAACTCTAATTGTTCTGTACATAAAAGTATTGAGGTACAATTGCTAAGAAATGAATAGTTTGGGAGATATTTTATATCAAAGTACATTAGAATATAGCATAAAATATCGTAAACTATTCATTTCTTGGCAATTGTATATTCAATAGTTTATCAATAGTCTATATATATAATAATCTTTTATACAGAATAATTAGAATTGTCGAAAAAATCTATAGTTTTCGAAACTATGTAGTTTTATATTATATTCTAACACTTTGATATAAAATATTTCATAAACTATTAATTTTTCGACAATTCTATTGTAATTATTCCGTGCGTAAAAGTATTGAGGTACAATTGTCAAGAAATAAATAGTTTAAGAGATACTTTAAGTTAAAATGTATAAGAATTTTACAAAAAATTGTTATAAATTGATTATATATAATCTATTTATATTTAATATATTGCTTAATATTATATATTTAGTAACAATTTTTTGTAAAATTTTTATACATTTTAACTTAAAATATCTCTTAAACTATTTATTTCTTAAATATTTAACAAAAGTATTTGTTATATAAAAAAATGTCAATTATATTTGTTATATAAAAGATGTTAAGCATAGGTGCGCCCCTTAAGCGCAAAAAGATGCTTAACACTAGAAAATGTATGATATCATTACAAACTTACCTTTTTAAAAAAAAGATAAAAAAGGGTGTCAAAGGTATAGGAACGCGCTTGAAGAAAAACTGTAATTAAAAAATGTAATTGTAATTAAAAAATAAAATCTAACCACAGGTTGTCGACTACAATTGTTTTCATGCAGCCCAAGAAACAAAACTGGATTTAAATCGGGGAAAAGAGCTGGCCAAGGAATAGGTTTTCCACAACCTATTTTTGAGGAAATCTTTGATCTAGGAACTGTCTGGCTGCTCGGCTAAAGTGAGAGAGTGCACCGTCATGCATAAACCACATGCAATGTATAACACCAAGTGAAAGAATACTTTTCAATAGTTCATTTAATTGTCTTCTTAAAAAATTTACATACAATTAATCTGTCAATCTCTGATTAAGAAAAACAGGTTTGATTAAATTGTCGCCGAGTATTCCTTTCTATATATTTACATTTAATTGCTGTTGATGTCTTGGAAGAATGACATGGGTTTCTATCAGACCAATAATGGATATTAAGAAAATTCACTACTCCACCTCTGAACGTAGCTTCGTCAGTGAATAATACAAATGATAAAAAATGTTAGTTTTATTATATATATATATATATATTGTTGCGGCCGTGCGGTGTTCCGTTCGGCGCTGCCCCGTGAAATTAATTAATATCAATCGATAAGAGTTTGAATAGAGGATCGGCCCTAGGCAATGCGTCGTTCTCCGACTGTTATACAGATTTTACGGCCAGATTCCGCGATGGCCGGACACGTTTCTGTACCGTTGTACCGTTGGTTTAATAAAGAGCGAGCTTTTCTTTAAACAGTGTTCTTCCTTTCCGAAAGCGCTCCGCCGAGTATCGCGATCTCGTGAAGTAACGCCGCGAACGCGACAATTTTGGAAGCTCGTCCGGGATCGAATTTTTCGATCGTGTGTGTGTGTGTGTGTGTGTGTGTGTGTGTGTGTGTGTGTGTGTGTGTGTGTGTGTGTGTGTGTGTGTGTGTGTGTGTGTGTGTGTGTGTGTGTGTGTGTGTGTGTGTGTGTGTGTGAGAGATAATGGCGGAGCGACAAACGGAAGAGACGGGGACTGGACAGGAAGAGGCGAAAGGTCGGAGAGTGATCTCTGCAAGAAAAAGGGCCTGTACTCGAGCAGAAAGGCCGGAGGCGTCTCCGAACTTGGAGGAGATTCTTCGCTGGAGGAGCTTCGCTCTCTGAGAGAGGAGCGTGCTCGTCGAGAGACGAAAACATCTTCAATGCTCGGTCCGCAGGAAGAGATTTCGCAACGTCCGATATCAGGCCAGTCATTTCCTTTTTCAAATTTTAGTTCCGACTTGAAACTTAAGCCCGATACTTATGACGGTAATGTTCCGTTGCGCGAATATCTTACGCAGTTTAATTTAATTGCACGGGCGAATAATTTGGGAAACGCGGAAAAGGCTGTCGTACTAGCGTCATGTCTCCGAGGAAAAGCGCGTGCGATTTTGGAAGGGGGCACGGATTTTGAGAACTCTTAATTTGAAAATTTGGTCGCGCGTTTAGAGCTACGTTTTGGAGAAAATTTATTCTCGCAAAATTATTACTATCAATTTACGAATCAAAAACAGAGATTCGGAGAAGATTTAGCTGCATTAGGCTCGAATGTCAAGCGTTTATCTCGATTAGCTTATCCTGAATGTTCTTCCGGAGTTCGTGACAAAATTGCTTGTTCTCAAGTTGTAGTTGCATTATCTGATGTGAATGTTAAACAGACATTGCAGCTAGAAAGGTTAACATCTTTGAGGGCCGCGGTAGAAAGAGCTTTGGCTATTAAAATTATTAGGGAGAATTATTTAAAAGAGCGGAGAAATTTTGATTTTAAAGATTGCTCGAATTATAAGAGCAATCCTGATTTAAACGGGTTCAAAGTAGAATCTCGTGGAACGAGGGGTTTAAATTTTAAGAAAAAAAGAATTTTAGAATTGAAGGGAAAAAGGAATGTTGGCAGTGCGGAAAACAAGG